CTCTCTCTCTCTCTCTCTCTCTCTCTCTCTCTCTCTCTCTCTCTCTCCCCCTCCCTCCCTCCCAGTCGCGCCAATGTCCTTAACTTTTCTCTCCATATCTTGCTTTTTAGCACCGCATGACAAGACTATAAACATGTCGACCTTGATTGCATTATATCGGGATCATTCCACTATTTCGACAATTATGAGTCTCTACATGCGCGGCCACTTTGCGCACCATTTACTCGCGCGCACACACACACACACACACACACACACACACACACACACACACACACACACACCTGTTGAAATCATTCATTCAAGCGGCGTCTCCCCTCTCTCTCTCTCTCTCTCTCTCTCTCTCTCTCTCTCTCTCTCTCTCTGTATGTGTCACACACACACACACAACCAAACTCGCAAGGAAGAGAATGACATGAACAAAGAGCGGAGGAACAGCGACGGGCGAAAACGAAGAGGGCGGCCGACACTCACCTTGCGATGCGATTCAAATTTCCATCGCCTCACTGCTGCAGGGGCAGCACAGGAAGAAGGTGCCCCTTACGAGGGGCATATGGCGCAGAGCTCGATGGAATGGGACCGCCGGTTGAGGGAGGGCGTCCTGGAAAGTTGCGCCCACTACCGACAGGGGCCTACCGAAAAGATTTTTAGGCCCAGGGGCGCGACAGCGCAAATTAATGGAAAATACAGGGGCGTCGGACAAATGTTCGCTGTATCGTTCCTATTTTAACGGATGTCCCCGAAGGACGTGGGCTTTCTGCCCGTATTTCAACAGTTCGCGGTGCACCAACTGAGCTAGGCCCGTTCTTTCGCCTGGGTTTTCTGCCCGTGACTCAAAGTTGGATTTCTCCGTGCTGAACCTGGTTGTAGTTAACGACAGATACATGTAGGAAAGTCATGACGTGGGTATGCTCTTTGTGAAACCCAGCCTTTCTCGGATCTTACATTTTTCACATTCCGCTGCGCTCTTGGCGGCGGGGGGCTTCCTTTCCAACCCTCGGAGATCGACCCGGTGTCATTTGTGGCGTCGCTGTGTGCAATAGACAACGCCACGTGGCGATACCACGTGGGATCTTCGTAAGCGGCGTGGGATCTTCGTAAGCGGCGTCACGATGGTCATGAGCCACGTGGCGTGTGATTATTAAACTTCGCCCGCAGCTATGCGTCACGTGATTGCCAGCTTCATCGGACGGCAAGTGATTACAATCATCGGACGCCGTGTAATCTTTTATCGGATGCCACGTGGCAGTGTAGTATTTTCGTCTGAGGTAGTGCGACCGTTGGTATCAGACCCTCCACCTTACGCTCTTTTGATAGGTCAGTCTGACGCATCTGTGACGAGGCACGAGAGCGCGCCACGTGGACGCTAGCTTTCTCTGCTGTTCGATCGCTTGCGAACGGATCGGTTGCAGTCGATCTGTGGTGAGTTCATTTTTTTTTTTTTTTTTTTTCTTGTTGTTGTTATCATCTGCTACGGCTTCTCTCCACGTTTACCTTCCCTCTTCTCTCCTTGTCTTTTTTTTTCTTTTCTTTTTTTTAAATCTCTCCTTGTCTTCCCCTTCCTCCTCCCCTCGGCCCCACACCCGCAAATTTCTTTCCGCTTTTCTCCTTGTCCAATATACAAGAAGGGTCAAAAGCGGGATGTCAGTTTTTTTTTTTTTTTTTCCCGTTCGCGCCTCTTGGCGGCGCCTTCAGAGCGCTGCAATCCACGTCGCCTTCAGATCAAATCGGGATACCTTGTTGATGTTCAATGGATAACGAAGGGTCACATCGGCACCCTCTTATGCTTCATGCAAATCACGAGATCACGAAAAAGTGCTAGGAAAGAGAAAGAAGTGAAGAGGAGGGGAAGACTGAAGGCATACTCATCCTACCGAATTGTTTTTTTTTTTTTCTTGACTGAATCTGGCCGTGCCGTGGTGCCGGTTTCTGGTCAGGGTACAACCAGGAAAGTGCTAATGTGTGAGTGTGAGTGTGAGTGTGTGTGTGTGTG